CGACTTCCCTTTGGTCTGTAGTATAGACCCCTAGAGGACAATCACAATGTGGCGTTCCCGTGCACGGAAACCAACCGACAAGAGCGCTAGGGCCTTGCAAAGTAAGCTGCTGAAGCTGCAGATTTTTTTCTTTTATCAGGCTGTTGTCTGGCGCTCTCTCATCTGTAGCGCTCTCTCGCCTCATACTCTCCTCTCCGCGCTTAGTCTCTCATTCCCTTAGCACAGCCGATTAGGAAGGTGAGTGAGCCCTTAACCTGAGCGTTTTCGACGGATTCTTTTCCTTTTTTCTTTACTGCCGGCCCACTTGGCACCAATACATTCGCATTCGTGTGCAAGAGCCACACCAATGCGATCCTGGGGCATGCCTTAAAGGCAAGAATCAGGATTAAATTGATGGGGTGATTCCACTCAAATGTGAAAGTAGGGGTGGGAGGTGGACCGCCAGTGGAGAAAAAAGGAAAAAATCCTGAAATACACAGGAAATACGAGCATTTTGCTCTACGCTGTGGAGAAGTTCAAAAGGCCGGCAGGGAGATGAGAGATAATGTGAGCGCGGAGAGCGGTAGAGAAGTCCGAGAAGAGAGAGCATAGCAGATCAACGTGGCGACGCAGACAAGATATCGAACGGTGGGCGGACCATGTTAAGTTTGGTGGAGTCTGTTAGAAGTCCATGGCGCCTAGGGTCCTAGTGACGCGTTTCGATGTAGAAAGGTGGCGCTACCTTTGCACTTGCGTACCCAGCACTTCTAGCCATGGTAAGGGCTTAGGTGGGTCTGAGCCCGAACTTTGCCTTTAAGGAACATGAGATAAAAATGGAAGCGGTCGAAACGATAATTGCAGATGCCGGCGCCCTTATTACGCACTTGAGAGCCAGAGGTACAGTACATGCGGTCTTCATGATTGCTGCATAATACCTTGTAAAAGGATTCGGCCACCTGAACCAATCCTGGTATGGGCTTTTGATATTTATATACAGGGGTGGCCAAAAAAAGACACTTTCTCCACATTTCAGACAGCATTAATCACACTTTGCTAAACTCAAACCGACTGCTCCCAACTTAATATTAAGAGCACATCCAATCTATCAAAAACGTTATAATAGCTTTCTGCACCAAGGACATCACAAGAATTTGCCATGGGAACCTTGTGCACGGTTCGAGCTCAACTGGTCCTCGGCGGATCATGGACCATTACGACGTTATCTGAAACGCTGGTCGGAAGGGTCTTGCATATTTAGAGCTACTAGGAAGCAATCTGTCAGTGAACCGATTAAAGAAATTTCGTAGCAGCTTCAGGCTGGAACGATTACGGTAGGCCTTCTTGAGCTCAACGGTGATGGAAGATGACGTCATATTTTGAGGACGGTGAGGGCAGTGGAGGAGGGCCTGCTTCTACTTATGGGAGGACATCTAAGGATATTTTGCCGTAAAACTTTCATCAACAGCGGCACCTGTGCGACGAAAAGTTTGATGATGTGCGCCATGAGGCAAAGTGTCTCTTTTTATTCTGGCCACCCCTGTAACAGACCTCAAAAACATGTATTTGATTGATTCAAAAACGAGATTAATAATACCGAAATACGGAAAGATGAAATTATCCAATAGTATGTGATAACGAATTATATCGTGGCGTGAAAGGAACCCAAACTAAGGAATTTTTGATCGCTCGGCTCGGCTCCGCTTAGGATCAGGGATCACCCGTCTGCTCATAAGGTTGCATCGCTAGACTAGCTCCTCATTCCGCTCGATTTCATAAATTACTGGTGCACCTACAGAAATTTGATTTTTTGGAATTGTTGTAGACTTTCTCGTCTGATTCTTTCATGATATGTAGCTTGAACACGCTGCTACTAATACGCCCTGATCACAAAGTGGTTAGGCCTTCCACTTTGCGAAGTGCACCAATCAACCTCCAACAGAGCGCTATGCGAAACCGTTCTCGACGATTTTTCAAATCCTCAAATTTTGTTCAAACAGCGTTCAAACTCGGTATTTGTTCAAAACCATGGGCGTGTCTTTACTTTGGAGAGGATTACGGGTGAATTCACCAAAGGGTTTGCTTCAGGACACTGACCGTGAATGGTGCACCGAGCAAACCCTCAACTTCATCAGTTATGACGAATGGCTCTCCAATTCTCGGAAAGACCGATATATTTCCAAGTATGGGCTATCCTAAAGGGAAAAGTCTGCTCCTATCAATTACCGAAATTTGAACCTTCTCATGACGGCGCTTTTGGAATCCTGGGACAAAATTGATGAAAAATACCTGCGTGCCACATGCCATGCGTATGCCAAATGTTCAGAGAACTGTGTAAAGGCTAGAGGCGATCATTTTGAAAACTGTTAATATGTTTTGAATTGTCATCTTTTCTACAAATAATATTCGTGATTAGAATCGATTTCTGAAAGCTAGTCTCGAAATGCCAACAAAATATTGGTGCACCAGTAATTTTGCCCCACCCTGTAGTGAAAAGTGCTTAGCAATACTACAGTACTCGCCGTTTGAAATCGAAAATTCACGCGAATAACGCGAATCCTCGTTAATTTCGTGAATTCGTTATAACTCGGTTCAAAATTGAGCTTTCGAGAATCCGAAGATATCTTTGAACTCAGCTCGTCGAGACACTATAAGAATGTGCTTTGAAACTTTGGAAAAGCTTTATAGATTGCGCCATGCACTCGAGTTTCACCTCGAGAAATAACTGATTGGATGTGATGCGTACCTAATCACACTAGTGGAGCCTGATCGTTTCATAGAAAGATGGGCTTGGGCATTGTCCCAGAATGCGCCACGTACTCGACTTTGTGCACTAGATTGCGAGATTAATTGAAACTTTTTTCAAGTTTCCATGATTTCTATTTCATTTCAAGGAGCTGAATGGTGAGACGTGTAGTCTCTGCGCCGAAAATCCCATTCTGTCGATTCCAGTGTGAGTTCCAGTTGGAGCAGTCCCATTTTCCAACATTTTTCAGTTTTCCAAGAGGTTTCGTGGAGAAACCTGAGGAGATATCG